TAATAAATAAGTAGCCGTAAGATCATCTTGACCACAACGTATATCAGCTTCTTCAGTTAATAATGCAAAACAAGACATAGCAACCAAAACACATTCAATATCAATCGACCATAAATAGATAAATAATACAACTTCAAGTTTGATATGTGCTTGTTTACAAATAGCAACATGACTACCAAGATTTGCATAATCTTTATGCCGTAATAAGAAATAATTTCGTTGTTTCAATATATCACGTAACCATTTTAATATTTCTGTATAATTAACAATTTGATGTTGAATTAATTTTTGTGAAATTGAAAACAGAACCTGTGATGAAACATCCCAAAATGTATTGATTGGTGCTTCAGGATTCCATAGTTCAATGTTTTCAGGTCGATGTAGAACAAGTAATGCTTCCATTGCTTCTTGTGCAATATCAGGCATTGATGGTTGATGAACCAACGATACAAGACCATTGATTAATTCAAGTGTATTACTTTGAATTTCATGACCAGCTTTTCCTTGATTATTTAACATTAATATTGGATTCACACGAATCAAACGAACCATCCATAATAAAAGATTTTTAAAATTTAATCCTTCTTCCGATGATTTATCTTTAAATTTTAATGTAGTAACTTTTTCTTTTAATGTAAAACTCTAAAATGAATAATAAAAAAAGCGAGGATTTTTTTAATAATGAAAAACATTTTTAAAAAGAAAAATCAAACCTGACAAAGCTATCAGAAATTTCAAAGATATAATGAAGAAAAAGAATCAAAGCAGAGAATGAAATGGAAAGAAGAAAAGAATGAAATGGAAAAGAAACTTATTAGCAAACAAGAAATAGAGAATAGAGAATTTTTTCATTTTAAAAATTAAAAAAAAAAAATTACCTGTATCATTCGTAATGGTGTATGTGATATACATCCTTGTGTTGCTTTAATCAATGTTTCTGTAAACATAAATCGTAATTCAGGTGCTTTATTATAAATAATATCAATTTTTGGCCACCATGATAATCTTGGTTGTACAATAATACGAAATAATGAACAAACAAGTACATAATGATACATTGATGGACCATTTGGATTTAAACAAACTTTCAATGCTTCATTATTATGTGGTGTTATACGAAATATTGATACAAAACATTCAATCATTAATTCAACATCATTATATATATTTGATGGACTACGTATTAATGGTTTAATATTGAATAATAATAATTTAAGATCATTTATAACTGATTGTACTAATGTAAATATAACATTATTACTATCCAATATATTTATATATGTTGATGCTTTACATAATTTTACACATGTTATAGCAGCCGATTCAGTTAATTGTTTACTTGAACTATGTGGTACTAATGATTTTTTAACATTTTCAATAAAATTTCTTTTTCTTTGATGACGAGATGAAAATGGTGCACCACTATCAGCATTAACAATTTCTTCCAATATTTTTGGACAAAGTAATAATAATAATATTTGTAATGGCCAAACATAATTTTTTCTTTTATTATTATTTTCAGCATATAAATCTAAATGTTCAAATAATTTATCACAACAATCGCTTAGCTCTTCAGTTGGTCTACATTGATATTCCATAAATTCTTGTGGATATGTTTCAATCCAATTCCAAATTGCTTTTTCAACATTATTCAATAAAATATAATGTGCATTCTTTTTCAATGAACGAAATTTTAGATTAATTTCCAATAATAATTTCAATAAACGATTTATATCAACATTAATATATTGTATTAATTCAATATCAATAAAATCCATATTTTCTTCCGATGTATTGGATAATTCTTGTAATCGAGCCGATATACGACTAAAAACAGCATTAAAATTATTTAAACTAAGTGAAAATAGTACTTTTGATGCTAAAACTTTAAGCTGTGCAGCCATTATATTATCATTTGATGATTCAATAAACTAGAATTTTTTGTTTTTCAAATGAAATTATTATTATTATTAAACTTTTTTTTTTGTTGAATAACTTCACATTACTTACATGACAAATTTCTTTTAATAATGCCTTAACATTCATTGTTTCATCATAACGTGTTGTTTCTTTTGGCTGTATACTTAAACATTTTTCCAATGTATCCAATAATAATAATTGTGATTCATAAAAATTTCTTTCAAATTCTGGCTGTATTGGACCATGTATTTGAGATCGTTGTGAAATGAACTATTTTTGGAAAAAAGTGGACAAAAAACAAAAAACATTAGACATTTGATTTAAAATCATTTCATTTTGTTTCTTTTGTTGATTACCATTTCATTAACAGTATGTAATGTTTTAGTTAAACCAGAAATAACTAATGAAAATTTCGTTTTTGAAATTTGTATTAATGTTTCTTTAATTTGTTCAACATTAACTTTTGTTTGACTTGTTTGTGGACCACTTCTATATGGTAATTGTTCTTCAAATCTTGATAATAGGGATGTAACCCATTCGACTGGTTTTTGATTGGCCATTTTTTTGTTATTTCAACAACTTTTTTAAGCGAAGTGAAGTGAAGTGAAGAAAATTACGAAGAAAATTGATTTCAAAAGACGATAAATAAAATAAAAAATTCGGATTGAGATTCAAAAACAACAGCAACAACAACAACAAAAATTCGCTTTATAAATAGATCAGGAAATGTAAATATTCATGATGATCATGATGACCATCATTATCATCATAATCGTTATTTGAATTTTGATTCGATTCATATTCGATGATCATTATTTGCTGACATGATGACAGTTTCAATCAAATGATTTATTTGGAGAGAGATAGTTAGAGAGAGAGAGGAAAATTGACGATATGGAGGATGACAGAATATTCGATTGAAAGAAGTAGTGAAGAATAGAACAACAACAACAACAATCCAGAAATTGGGCCAACTATATCACAACCGTTATCCGGATTCTGGAATTTTTGATGCTATCCAGAGAAAATTTTGTTGGAATTGAAATATGTCGATTTTGTTTGTTTGTTTTATTCTTTACACACACTCAACATATACAGAATCCTTTAACAACAACAACAACAACAAATATCCAAAACAACAACCAGAAGAAAAAAAACGAAAGCAGAAATTAAAAAAAAAACCGATCAAATGATGAATGGATCGACCAAAGAATCACACTGTGCTACTACCACCACCACCACCACCATTGACAATTCAAAGAAGATAAAAAAAAAACCGAACTAAAGAAAGAACCTGAAGACCGAAGATATTGTGAAATGGAAGAAGAAGAAATAAAAAAAAAAATGGCAGCAGCAATGATTATCGTTCGACCATTAACGACGACGACGACAACAACAGATGATTTTTTTTACCATCGTTGTTGTTGTTATCATCATCAGAAGGATATGTGACGAAAGAATCTTCACTCTCCCTCTCTCTCTACGTTGTTCTTATTCTTCTACTTTTTTTTCCACCCACTTTCCCTCCCACCAAATAGAATATATAGAATGTGGGTGCATGATACCATACTCTACTATATCATTGACTACTACTACCCATCCATACCCTGTATTCACATAAAGATTCCAATTGGAAGAAAGATTTTGGTTTTCTTCGAGACATTTTTCTTTGGTTTTTGTTTCTGGAACAAAAAAATATATTTTGGTAGTGGTTGAAACTGACTGGGACCTATATAGATATTACGGTCGTCTTTGTTGTTGTTGTTTTGTTTTTTTTCGACAACAGTTTGTTTTTCATTCATAAATTTTACTTCTTTTTTCTTTTTCTGTTAGTTCCAGTTTCAACATGTTTTTTTTGCGCGCGCAAATTTTCAAAAAAAAATAGTTTTGTTTCATTTGTGTATCCATGGTGGTTTGATGAAACACAGATTACCATTTTTTATATCTGAAAAATTCCATGTCAATTTTCAAATGAAAAAAAAACATTGATTGCATTTTTTCTCAATGAAAAATGCGTGTGTTTTTTTGAAATTTTTCAAAAAAATTTTGGAGCAAACAAAAAACAAATCGCCCATCAATGTGTCGGCGACTTACGGGATCTGACAAAACAAATCCGGAAAACTTATGATCACTGTTTGGCTGGCTGAGTCATTCAGAAGAAAAAAAATTACGACAATTGAAAAAAAATAGCAATGGTCACAATACGAAAATCAGTTTGTTCGAAAAAATGAACATAACATTTGCAAAGATAGAAAATAAAAGAAAAAACAATCATAATGAAAAAGTCTGAATGAAAAGATAAAAATTACGTTAGATTATTGTGACTTTAACCATATCTGTTCATTCATTCATTTTTTTTCCATATAGCAAAACAATGAAGAGCCGCTATGCAGTAATGAAATGAGAAGAAGAAAAAAAAAATAATGATTTTGCGGCAATAAATAAGGTGGTAGTAGCATTATTTAATGATGATTCGAGAGATGAAAAAAAAAGAACAAGAAGAAGCTTCAATGAGTGTTTCGAATCATTTCATATACTGTTTTCGTTAAATGTATTGTACGTGTGTTTGATGATGTGATTGATTGCGATTGGTTTTTTTCAACAAACAAACAAACAAACAGCAGAAATAATATTAAAAAAAACACGACAAGGAGAACGCGAAACGAAACAACGAATTCAACGAAATGAAATGAAAAAAAATAACAACAACATCAGCAAGAAAAAGATGTGATTATTTTCTAATGATGATGATAATTTTATTGAAATAATTTATAAATTGATCAACTCTTTCTCTCTCTCTTTCTATATCAAGAATGATGAATAATTTTATTTTGTTTTTTCTATTAAATTAACACCAACAAACGAGGAGCTAATTTGTGGTTTCGATTGATCATTCTGTTGTTACAAGTGTCTGTAATTTTTTTTTTTGCCTACTTAATCTGATTGATCAATGATTGATTCATTGAATATCAACAAAAAAAGAAACTAATCAACACAACATCGTCATCAAATATATTTGTTAATTCGAATTTGTGTTAATTAGAAAAGAAAAAAAAATACAAATGTTTTTCGAGTGATAAGATTATTATTATTGTTGTTGTTGTTGTTTGGAGTTGTGGGTGACAAACTACAAGAAATTTTGTTTGTTTGTTTCATCCATTCATCACATTTTGTTTCCTGAAATTTTTTTTTTAATTTAAATCATCTTTTCAATTTCGAAACACCTCATCCTCATCCTTATCATCATTAATATTAAAATCATTTATTTTCAAACATGATAATGGTGTTAACACCTCGTCAAAAACAAGAATTGTATGTTTAGATTTTTTTTGTAAATTGTTATTCATTTATTAAATTTGTTTTTTTTAATAATTATAAACAGAGAATATGCAATTGCCGATTATCTAGAAAATAATGGTTATAATGATGCATTCGAAGCATTTAAAAAAGATGCCAATATTGTAATTGAAAATTTACATTATTATTTTTTTTTGCTTTATAAAGTAATTTCAAATTTTTTTTTCTTGATAAAAAACATAGCAAAAAGATCCGGATAAAGGACCATCAGGAATATTGGAAAAGAAATGGATATCGGTTGCAAGATTATCGAAAAAAGTCAATGAATTAGAAGATAAATGTCGTGAATTAGAAAAAGAATATGTTATTGGTGCACCATTAAGAGATAAACGTTCACCAACTGAATGGATACCAAGACCACCTGAACGTTGTACATTGGATGGCCATACAGCACCAATAACACGTGTATTATTTCATCCAATATTTGTTTGTGTTGTATCAGCAAGTGAAGATGGTACAATAAAAACATGGGATTATGAAACCGGTACATATGAAAAAACATTAAAAGGTCATACAAATGCCGTACAAGATTTGGCATTTTCACCTAATGGCAAATTACTTGCATCATGTTCGGCTGATTTAAGTGTAAAATTATGGGATTTTCAAAATTATATCTGCATTAAAACATTATATGGACATGATCATAATGTATCATCAGTTACATTTGTACCATCGGGTGATTATGTATTAAGTTGTTCACGTGATAAAACAATTAAAATGTGGGAAATATCAACCGGTTATTGTGTAAGCACATTTACTGGACATCGTGAATGGGTTAAAATGGTTCGTGTTAATAATGATGGATCATTAATGGCAACCTGTTCAAAAGATCATGTATGTTACTTTTTTTACAACAAAAAATTTATCTCATTAATATTTTTTGTTTTCGTAGACGATTATTGTCTGGAATTTGATCAATGCTAATCAACATATGAATAGTGGTGGTGGTGGTGGTAGTAATAATGATATTAAAATTATGTTACGTGAACATGATCATACTGTTGAATGTATATCATGGGCACCTAATACTGCCAATAAATCTATATCGGAAGCATTCGAAGAGGTAATTTTTTCAAGAGAAATTTTAAAGCATTAATTTAATGATCTTCATCAACTATAGAAGAGAAAAGAATTACAAGGTCCATATCTGGTTAGCGGTTCGCGTGATAATACATTAAAATTATGGGATATTGGTACAGGTGTTTGTCTATTCACATTTATTGGCCATGATAGCTGGGTACGTGATGTTAGTTGGCATCCAGCCGGTAAATTTTTCATTTCAGCATCTGATGATAAAACGATTCGTGTTTGGGATGTTGTTAATAAAAGGCTAACTAAAACACTTGAATCACATAAACATTTTTGTTCATGTATAGGTTTGTTGCAATAAATAGCATTTTAAAACATTAATTAAAAAAAATTAATTTATAGATTTTCATCAACGTGCACCATATGTTGTAAGCGGTAGTGTCGATCTAACGGTTAAAATTTGGGAATGTCGTTAAATTATTATCTTTATTATTATTATTATTATTTGAATCGAAAAAAATATATATAAATGGACTGTTGTTGGAAAATTAATCCTGGATTAGAAGATACAGTAAAAAAAAAATTTAGACAAAATTTATAATTAAATTAAACAAAACAAACAATTATTAATAACACACAACGATGATATCAAACATTGAATACCACCAATCAAACAAAACAAAACAAAAAAACAGGAAAAAAATTGCCTCTTTGGTCATCATTGAATACATTCATTCATCAATCCATCCATTCATCGTCATCAATCATCATTTAGGGAAACCATCATTGTTTGTTTTTTTTCCTAATCAATCAATTTATTCGTAAAATTGAACTTTTTTTATAAGAAAGAAAAAAAATTTGATGAAATTACACTTTTGAGATATATATTTTTTCTTTTTTTTGATGTGATTATCATTTGCTCTCTTTCACTCTATATTTACATCAACAAACAAACAAACATAAATTTTCTTTTTTTCAAATTTTCATTCTTCATTTGTCTCTGATTTGATTCTTACTTTCTTTTCTTTTCGTTTCTTTAGTTATCTATTTTCTTTATTTAGTTATTAATTAAAACAAACAAACAAAGGAAGAAAATTTCATTGATTTGATTGTCGTTTCTTACTACTATTGCAAGAAAACAAACAAATTGTCAATGAATAACTTTGAGATCCTTTTAAATCCTTTTTCTTTTTTTCCAGTGATCATACACCACACACACAAACACTTAATTAATTTGATAAAATAAATTGAATGAATGTAAATAATTTTGAAAAATTAAAATTTTTTTTGTTTTTTACTTTCGAAAAAATGATCCAATAGATGGCAGTCATCCGTTGATTGATCACATGTTTGATGTATATTTTGCGCCATAATTATCTTCAATTGTGTTTGACAGTTTTTTTTATTAAAAAAAAAGAAAAAAATGAATCAAAAACGTGTACCATGGTTAGAAAAATATCGACCAAATCAATTGGATGATATTGTTGGTAATGATGGTGTGATTGAAAAATTCAAAATATTTAGCCGTACTGGTAATATACCGAATTTTATTCTAAGTGGTCCACCTGGTATTGGTAAAACAACAACCATTCTATGTTTGGCACATCAATTATTGGGCGATCATTTTAAAGATGCTGTACTTGAATTGAATGCATCGAATGAACGTGGTATTGATGTTGTTCGTAATAAGATAAAAATGTTTGCTCAAAGTCGTATGACATTGGAACCACATCAACATAAAATTGTTATTCTTGATGAAGCCGATAGTATGACTGATGGTGCCCAACAAGCATTAAGACGTACGATGGAAATTTTTTCTACAACAACACGATTTGCATTAGCTTGTAATACATCCGAAAAGATAATCGAACCGATACAATCAAGATGTGCGGTTATTCGTTTTGGAAAATTACCGGATGAAAAAATTGCCCAAAAATTGATTGAAATCTGTAAAAAAGAACAACTTGATTATGATGAGGAAGGTATCGAAGCAATTGTATTCACTGCTCAAGGTGATCTTCGTCAGGCTATTAATAATCTACAATCAGTTGCTGATGGTTATGATGGAAAAATTACTAGCGTAAACGTTTTTAAAATATGTGATGAACCACATCCATTGTATATAAAAGAAATGTTTAAATTATGTTTGGAAGAAAAATTCGATTCAGCATATGCTATTGTTGCAAATCTTTGCAATCTTGGCTATTCAGCCGATGATATTATTGCCAATATTTTACGTGTTTGTAAACGATATCCTATGCCTGAATATTTAAAATTGGAATTTATTCGTGAAATCGGTTTTACACAGCTACGTATTCATCAAGGTATTCATTCGCCGATACAATTTGCCGGATTAATTGCTCGTCTTGTTAAAAAACAAAAAATTATGGCCAATCATTGAATGCAACAAAAAAAAAATTATAATTTTGAAAATTTTTTATCACTTCTAACTATTTTTACATTCACATTATGGATAGATTGAAATAGGAAATATTTGTTTCCATTTTTTTTTCAATATTTATTTTTTTATTCATTCGAAATTTATTGATTAATTTATCTTCACTCTTTGAACAATGAAAAATGATTAAACAATCTTTTTTTATGTTAATGAAACGAAAAATTACAATTACTGTACTTTAATCATGATTGATAATAAAAAGGATGTAATCATGGTGAATGGTGAGCCAGTGATGGCCAAAACCAACAAAAATCACGATGATGATATTCTTTTTACCGAATTCAAAGCGAATCAAATCAAAAAATATCTTCAACAAAATGATCGATTAGCATTGAAAACATTGGCCTGTTCGAATGGTGGATTTGTTACAAATAAACTTCGTGTAAAAGTTTGGTGCCGTTTAGCTTATGTTGATAATGATGATGATGATGATAATGATGATATTTCTGATGACCAAAATGACATTCCTGACAATATTCAACGTAATGATAATTATCGACAAGTTATACTTGATGTTGAACGATCATTGAAAAGATTTCCACCCAGTGTTGAAGAAGTGCAAAGAATTGCCTATCAGGATAAATTGACCGAAATAATCATTCGAATATTGGATCATAATCCTGATATGTATTATTATCAAGGCTATCATGATGTTTGTCTTACATTTCTATTAGTGATGAATGAACATCAAGCTTTTCGTTTGATCAATGCAATATCACGATCACATTTACGATTCTATATGGAACGTACAATGAATACAACAAGTAATTTACTTGAAATTATCTATCTAATCATACGAGATGAAGATGATGAACTACATGATCATCTTATACGATCCGAAGTTGGCACAATATTTTCATTAAGTTGGGTGATTACCTGGTTCAGTCATGTACTCAATGATTTGGATGATATACTTCGTTTATTTGATCTATTCATATCAACACATTATCTGATGCCAATCTATATGACAGTGGCCATTTTAATGTGGAAAAAATCAGACATTCTACTTGTCGACTGTGATATGGCTAGTATGCATAAATTCCTTACAGCAATTCCTATTGAAAATTCATCATTACCAATTGATCGATTAGTTCGAGATACTCTTGAATTATCTGTACGCTATCCACCGGAAGATACGCTTGAACGACAAAAACAAATCGAAACAAATGCTTTAAACGATGATGATGATCATCATCATCGAAATGATCATGGCCAATCGATAATTAAATTTTCAATACAATTTTTAAGGAGAAATATTTTTTCCTTTACATTCATCGGTTTCATATCGATTATGATTCACCAATTCTGTTATGATTATCTTTATTCATGATTACTAGACCATTTTTGTTTGTGTTTTGTTTTTTTGCTTTCAACTTTTCTTTCTTTTCTTTTTTTTAAAAAAAAGGAATTTAATTTTATTTATTATTTACATCAATCACAATTAATCAATTAATTAATAAATAAAAATCAATCAATGATGATGTTTAATAGTCAATAATGAAGGCAAAAATGAGCCACCAATTAAAAGAAATAATTCTTTAATTTTTAAACGACGATGTTGAGTAATTTCGGGCAATACATGTACAGCTGCAACATATAAAAATGTTCCGGCACTAAATAATAATGAAATACCGGTAGCATTATATTCATGAAATGTTTGTTGTGATGATGAATTGATACCAAAATATGTTAAAAATGAAGCGGTTGGTGCACTGATTGAAAACCAAAATAAATGTCTTTTAGCACGATTACGATCAAGACCTTCATGTAGAAGAAATGTAACAAGACCAAATGCAGCCGGTGCTTTATGTAATAATATGGCTAAAAAAACAATCATTTCAACATCGGCATGTGATGTTGTAGCTGCTGCTCCCAATGCAATACCATCGGCTATTGATAATACAAACAAAAATTATTCAAACTTACACATCAAACAAAAATATTTCTACATACCAGCCGAATGAACAATTAATCCAATGGTTGCTGTTAATTTTGATGTACTTTTTTTATTGGAATGATTAGATTCTGATTCGATTGCAATTGAGCTATCAGTGGCGGTTAATTGACTATATCCATGCGATCCACCACCACCACCAGCTGTATTGGTCATTCCAGTAGAAAATTGATCAACAATTAACATTGTTACAAAACCAAATAATAATGTTAAACCAATGATTGTATGTGGATCATTATATTGTTCATTAACATTATTATTATTTGAATCATTTTCTATTGCATTAATTATTGATGAATTATGTGTTAATGATCGTCGATCAACATTATTATTATGATGATGATTATGATGATGTTGTTGTTGTTGTCCTGATTGATATATACTGCTAATACCTTCAGGTATAATCACACAAAGTGCAGCACCAATCAATATACCGGCACCAAATACACTGAATAATCTTACTTTTGATTCGGATAGATAAAATAATATCGGTATTGTACCGGCAATATAACTACCAAAACCGATCGAACAATTTAATAAAATTAAAAAAAATAATTGATCCATGATTGGATTTTGATATCAAAAAAAAAGGTTAAAAATGGACAGAATATTTAACACAAGAAAAAAAAATTCCGATGATATTTCATCATCTAATTATGATTGATTTCATAATTATCGCGTGCAAATTAAACACGTATACAATATGTAACAATAACAACAATCAAACTTATCAATCAAAAATTTTTTAGAAATGAGAAAAAAACAACAAAACAATAATAAAATAGAACTCGTCATTATTTATGAAAATCATATGATTTTTTAAAATTCGATATATCGAATTTATGAATAGCTCATCAGCTGACAATTCCAACAACAAAAAAAAAAAGAATTTATAAAATATTTATTTTCAAGTAAATCTTCGAAATGAATTACAATATTTAAAAAAATTTTAAAAATTCTCATCATCTATGATAATGTCGTCTAGATCGTGATCGTGATTTGGATCTTGATCTTGATCTTGACCGCGATGACAATGATGAAGATTTTTGTGATGATGAACGATGATGATTTCGTTTAGATTTGTTGGAACTTCGATGATGATGATGATGTGATGATCGATGATAATCATGAGATTTGGATCGAGATCTTGATTTTTTACGAGAATGTTTTGAATGATGTCGAATTTTGTGACGGCTTGAATGTTTATGTCGTCTATCCAAAGAAAATGATCTTGATCGTGATTTTCTTCGCCGCCGATGTTCATCATCATCATCATCATCATCTGAGCTTCGATATCGTTTCGGTGGTGAACAATCATCAATTACAATATCGTAATTTCTTAATGGTGATTGATCGGTCTCAATGGATGATTTAGTTTTATCGACAACTGGATTCTGATCACATTCATCTGAATCACTGGAATCTCGCATTTGTGGTAATGGTGATGTAACCCTTTCAATTGTAGGAGATAATTCTACATTGGCCGATGATGGTAGATATGGTCCAAATGTAACGGGGTTATCAGCCAATCGATTTTGATTACGTAAAAATTTTAAAAATTCTTGAGCTTTTCTTTTACGAAATTCTTGTAATCGTTTTTCTTGAGCTGAAACATTTTTCACAACCTGTTTCGATTCTAATAGATCATCATTATGGCTTTGATCACCATCATCATTGTTCGGTTCGTTGGTTAAATTCTTACGAACATGATCATCAGTTACAACAACAAGACGAGATTTTTTCGAATCTTCTTTCTTTTTACCGGTCATCGAAAACGTTATAGAAGAAGTTGATGGTGATGATGATTTTTCCAATCTAGATTGATGTTGTTTTTCTATTCGTTCTTTTTGTTTTTGACGAGCTATAAAATGAATTTTTCGTTGAACATAATGTGCATTAAAACGATGTCCATTGTTAAGGAAATCAAATTTTGGATTATTCAATTCACGAATAGATGTTTCAAAATTTTCACCATTCTGTGCAACATGTTCGGCCAGTTTATCGATTATTAATTCAATATCAGCCGATGGTTTAGGTATTAATGGACATTTATTGCTTGTAGCATTAGCAACAGCGGCAGCAGAATCTTGTATCACTGGTGGCATTTCAGTAGATTTTTTCTCATTAGGTTCCGGTTCAATATCATCACCAAATTTATCTTTAAAATTTTTTACCAATTTCGAATAAGCTAATTCTTGTTCATTATTATAATTCTGTATAAATAAACTTGGAATCTGAACTTTTTCCATAGTTTGTGTGGTAGTTGTTGTTTTGGCCAATAAACTTGGATGAAGATAATTATCATCATCATCATCATTATCATCATCGTCATCATCATCATTATTATTATCGTTAGTATCATTGTTGTTTGATTTAGATTGTTGTTCATTGGAATCATCAAATCGATAACGTCCAGATTTCAATTCTATTAATAAATGTTTATAATATGGATGAAGATTTGAATCAATCGAAAGAAATTCAAAATTTGAATTCGCGGCTTGTTTAGTTTTCAATAAAATTTCCATTTGTAAACCTTGTGTAGAAACAAATGATGCTGTTTTTGCAATGATTTGATGTAATTTCATACTTGTTGGTAATTGCATATTATCCGGTACGGTTAGACCATTAGGTATTTGATAATCATTATCATTATCTTCATCACCATCACCATTATGGTTTTGATTATCATCAGATTTTCCATCACCAGTATTTGAATCATATGAAAATCCAACATTTGAATATTCACCCTTCGTTTCTTTGCCGGTTTTTTTATCATCTATTATTCAATGATTCAATAAATCATCAGCAAAAAAAAAAGTTTATTTGCAACAACATACCGGTTTGATTTTCTTCATCACAAAGATAACGAAAACGTTCACGATTCAATTCCATTTCAAATTTTTCATCATCATTTGATCTCACCAATGTTTGACGATCATTTAGATCGGAAAGATCGTGCAGATATCCACGTACATCATATCTAGGCAGGCAGGGAACACATTGGAAATTTCAAGGAATTTGGGAAAAGTTGGAAAAAAAATTTCGAACAACCAGAATTAGATAATTTTACATTCGAAATTCAAAAAAAAATTGATAAGATGTCAACAACAACAACATATAAACAAAGTACAAGTAAAAAGTGTACAAAGGAAGACAAGAAATTTAATTTTTTTTTCTCATTCATTCTCACTATTCTCATTTTTTCTGTTTGTTAAAATTGATTTTTTTTCGTAGAAATCATACCCGTTTTTTTGATTAAAGAGAAAGTTTTTGGTCATTTTTTTCTTTATAATTTTTCTTTCTCCGATTCTCTCCAAGCCATTTGAAAATCCATGATTACGATGATGATGATGATGATAATGATCACCTTGTTGACCACCTTTGTTGATTGGAAAATTCCGGCACAAAGAAAATTAAGCTTGTTGTTTTTTTTCAAAAATTGCTAATTAAAATAATTATGAGGAGGATGTATCCGTGTGTGCGTGTTTACAATTATCATTATTCAGGTAAAATTGTTGGTTACAATGTTTTCAATTATTAAATGATTTCGAATGTCGAAAAAAACAAAAATAAAACAAAAACAAACCTGTCAATAAGAATATTATGATCACCAATCCATGGTATTAAATGTTTTCCATTATTAATCCAACGTGATTTTTCATCATCACGATATAATTTACATTGATAACCAAATATAAATAATTGATCATCATTTTGATCATTCGAATGTTTTTGATGTTTTAATCGATTTCTATTCCATTGAATATTTTCGTTTTCCATTCATAAAATTCTTGTTGTTTTGTTTTTTGTGTTTGACATCGATCATTTGAACAAAAATGTTGAAAAGACCAAAATTCGGTAATTCGGGAAAAATAAAAACAAAAAACAACGTGAGCAACACAAAAAAATATTTACCCATCACCATGTGTTTCCATCTAGCGATCGAATAATGGAAACTTGAAATGATTCGAATTCGAATACCCGCCACATTCGAAAAATTCCAAAAAAACAAAAAACAAAATTCATTTTTTCAAGAATTTCTCTTTTCAAAATTTCACTATAAACAACAGAATATATTTTATCTTTTTCTTTAAAATTAAAAACATTTAACAATTAAAAATTTTTTCCGGTAAAATCAACAACAAATAAATAAATTAGATAATTTATAACAAGAAGAAAAAAAATATAAAGATTCTCTCTTCGAATCGACAAGGAAAAAAAACTAAAATCTCTAAAATAAGATGATTGTCATGATGATGATGATGATGAGACTAGATGATTGACTACAATGAATGAATGAATGAATGGATCCAATCAATTGAATGAATTGGAACCAACAAAATAAAATAATGGTCACAACCTTATTTTGAGTGAGTGATTTAATCGATTTGATGATATAATATGATGGGTTTTTCGTTTGTTTGTTTGTTTGTGTCTGTGTGTGTATTAATGGAAAGATAAAATTTACTAATAAAGATTTCTTTTACTATAAAATTAAAGATAAGTGGGATATGTTTTTACTGTTTGAATCACAATGAATATTTTGTTTTGTTTTGTTTATTTTGTTTTTTGTTTTCACACCAAAAACGTTATTTATGAACACAGTCAGGTTTTTTTCCCGTTTGTTTGATCACCGGTGATTTTGTTTTGTCGATTTTTTTTTTGTTTTGTTTTTGTCATTTTTGTTATTATATATCCGGTGTTCGAGCTGAAAATGTTGCCGATGATCCATTTGCATTCATTCGTAAACATAATTCACGCATTTGTAATAAACTTCCTTCTAAACTAAGTGCAAAAAAATCTGAACTTGTTTCATCCGAACTATAAAATGATGATACACAAAATATAATATGATCTTTTTTTGGTGTATATGCACAACCATAACCATCCGGAACAACAGGACCATAACCAATAATTATATCAATATCCGTTGGTAATTGACTAGTTGATAGACGATAATTTCCATATTCACCAAATGATTTTTCACGAAATATTGCTGGTATTGTATTGAAATTTTTCTTTGATAATTCACGTAATGCACGAAGATGATTTTCTGGTCCATGGCCATTCATTGTCTGTTGTTGTTGTGGAGAATCAAAAAGGAAAAAATCAAAAAAGAATAACAACAATCATGGTTCAATGAACAAAACAGGAAGAAAAACAAAAATTCTCTATTTTCATCTCGTTTCAATTCATCAATTTAATCATCATCATCATCATCTTGTATTTATACTTACATAGTGCATAATTTCCACTTGTTTTTGAATTGCTCGTTTGAAGAGTTTGATTTTTTGGTCCTCCTTTGTGTTTGTTCGTATTCGGTAATCAAAATTGATTGAAAAGATAAATATTAGAATTAAGTGAAAGAGAAGAGGAAAAGAAAACAGAAAAAAGTTAATCAAAAAATTGCTCGAAGCTAAATTTCGGTTGTTACTCGTGTTTCGAATTCATTTCATTTTCAATTTCAAGAATTGTTACCTCAACATCCTCTACGATCAAGTTGTTCGATGTCGTTGTTGTTGTTGTTGTCAATGTTGATGTTGGCTGTGGACACATACTTTTAGCCCAATCTCTTGCTTCTTTTGTTGATGATCGTATTGTATCAACACGACCATTTTGAAAATGTCTTATGGAACAACTTTCATATGATGATACAATATAACGATGTAATTTAAAAAATGTTAATTGTAATGATAATTGTATATATGCATCTGGTGATATTTTTTGTTGTTTAATAAAATCACTACCATATTCATTAAATTTTAATACATAAAAATCTAAATCATTTATAGATTTATCAGCATGTTTTTCTGCTTGTTTTATATGTTTATCTAAATCTAATGTTATATTCCATCGTAATGGTAATGATTTTAATATTGTTGTTGTTGTTGTTGATTGTTTTAACAAATCATCTTGACCATGATTAGCATCAATAATTGTGGCCGATGATGATGTGGTTGATGTGGCCGATGATGGATGATAATTTTGTTGATAAAAATTAAGAAATTTTTTCAAAAAATTTATCATTGTAATTCCTTCGGATGCAGAATGTTCCATAATACAACCACAAATACCTTCTTTTGAAACAATAATCTGTAGAAATTTATCCCACCAACGATTCGCTGTATGTATTTGACTACCACCACCATGTAATAACATTGTTGACATATATGATTGATCCATTTTTGCAATCTGTATTGAATTACGATAACCCGAACGTTGATTTGTTTTTGGTAATATAAAATCATCTAAACAAAGTATAAATAATGATGTTTCTATTAAATGAATACTTTCAACATTTGTTTTATCTTCAATCAATTCGGTACGAATTTTTGCCCAAATTTTACGATTTTCCGTTGTTAATATACCAATGTTTGGTTGTTGAAATTGTAATGGTATTTTTGATCGATTCCATATGTTTGATAAACATTGTTCCAATTCATCAATACTAGGTATTGTTGTTGATTGTTCCAGATAGACAACGGTAAACTTTTTCAAATGAAAAAAAGAACGATAATTATTCATTCAACATAGTCAATGGCATTTTGTTTTACCTGATTAAAAGCTGCAACAATAAAATGTTGACAACTACCTGGTTGATGTTTATGAATATAAAGTTCATCTTTATCTTCACCCGGTATACGACATGCAGTAAAAAAATGTTGATATGTTTTCATACATAATTTTCGTCCACGCATTGTATCTTGTTTTAATGTTTGGCTGCAAAAAATTTTTTCATAATCAAAATCAATCAATAAAATTGACATACGAAGAAAACGGATCATAACACATCATACTTATCGATTTGTTCTTTGAATATCAAAGCAAATTTAGTAAAATATGCTGCAAAATTTATTAGATCCGATGTACGACGAAATGTTTGTCGTGGTAATAGAAAAAATGGATTCGAATTAATCAATAATGGTGATGGATTTGTTAGATACATATCATCCAGCCAAAAATCAGTTGACTATTTTTGAAAAAAAGTAGAGAAAAAACAAAGAAAAAACAAAACAAAAATTAAAATTCTGAAATAATTCTTGCAAATTCAAATCATATTCAAAATGTGTCATCAAAAACCATATTGTTGTTGTTGAATGAGAGATTTCTTTCTCTCGATTCTCCCATATAAATATAAAAATTTTTGGGACACATTTGCAACATTATCTGACATTTCATATGAAATGATTAAAAATGTTAATACACAGCTGAGCTCAAATCAATCTATATTTATTCATTCATCCGGTGCTGGTTGTTTTTCATAAACATTTTTGGATTTTTGGATTCAATTCATTTACCACACCACACCACACACCACACATAATAATAATAATATTCACCAAGAGAATTCGAATGAATTTAGCTTGTCAATTTCTGGGGAAATATTCTCTCTCTCTCTCTCTCTTTGTTCGTTTATTTTGGAAAAATTATTCTCTCCAAAAACCAAATCGAGAAAAAAGAAAAATAATGACTCATATGCAGAGTGTTTGTGTGTTCAGCCACATAATTAGATTTAGGAAATATTTTAAGGTTTTTTTTTTGTTTCGTAAAAAAAACTATATTTAGGATATTTTCTTGATTAACCAGAATTTTTCTTCATTTTTTCTTCGTCTTCTTCCGAGTATAATGAGTTCAAATGAAATGTTTGTTTATTTGGGCAATATTCTGCTTCTTTCTCTCTCTCTCCTTCGGTTAATTATTGATCAATAATTAATGATCAAAACAAAAAAAAAACAAACGGAAAAAAACAACGGAACAAACATTTTTTTGGTAAATATCAATTATCAAACATCATTAAAAATCAATATTATGATTATTCACAGCCTAGTTATACCTTTATTGGTCGTCGCTCTCCTGTTGTGGCCACTATTTTGATTTGTCAACAAAAAAAAAGAACACTTTTATTTTTTTCCTGTTTTTCGCGAAAATTATGAATTTTGTTTGTTGTTTTTCTTCTTTACCCCCCAAAACCATTAATTCTCCCTTCTTATCATCGAAAAAATCTATATCACCATCATCATCAGGTAATTGATAAACCTGTCAATGTTTTCAAATGTGTTTCTCCTTTGATATTCATTGATCAATGATGAAACGACGAAAAGAAAAAATTGTGAAAAAAGAATCTTTTTTCTTTCGGTTGTCAATATTGTTGTTGTCGAAAGAAATAACAATTTTTTTTCAGCATTTCTTTTTCAGCTACTGAATTTCTAAGTAGGATGAAAATCATTATCAAAGTGAAAATAGTAAAATTTTTCATTTGAAAATCGAACCAAATGATGATGATGATGATAATAAAATGAAAAATAAAAATTTCAACCAGAAAAAGGAAAAAAAAATCGATCGATAGATCGATCTATCTCGAGGAAAAAAAAGCTCGAATGGAATAATTTTCGGTCATCAGCAGCAGCAGCAGCCAAAAAAAAACCGAAATTGAGCGAAAAAAAAAATAACATTCGATTCTGCCAGTAGTTGATTCTTACCATCTCTACTTTTTTTTTTTGTTTCGTGGATCGATCTTTTCGATCTTTTTTTGAATATTTTTATTATTATTATATTATCATTATTATTCTACCATCTTTTTTTTGGTCTTTCATTTGACAATCAATTCGTTGTCTTTCACTATCTCACTGTGTCTGTCTGTGAAATGAAAAAAATAAAATGAATCAGTAGCAAACGAACGAACGAAAAACGAAAACGAAAACGAAAAAACAAAGCTTGAACAGATTCTAAAATTCACATAGAAAAAAAATATTTTCTTTTTTCGTTTTTGTTTTTTTGTTTGACAGTTAGACAGAATTTGAGAATTACGTTGTGAGAAAAAATAGTTAGTGTGTTGTATTTTTTTTGTTTTGTTTTGGCTGCAAACGAAAAAACCAAAACCAAAACCGACATACACAACAAACAGCAATCAATGTAGTGGTGGAAAGGGAGCAGGTGGTATAATTTCCTATGACCGGAGAAACAAAAAAAAAAGATCATTTTGGTCCATGATGATGATCATTGATGATGGTCGTTGATCCTATAGTTATTTTTTCTTTCGTTCGTTTTTTGATTCTGTCATTCATTCATTGAGATTCACATTCGATTCAGATATTTCCATCCACACGACCAGCACTCAACTATTTCGACTCAATAAATGATTGATTTTTTAAATTCAAAAAAAAAACTTTAAAATTGCGTGATTGTTTAATTTGTTTTTGAATGAAAGAAAAGATTTTCAAAGTTTCGTTGCGCGTTCAAGGAATTGCGTGTACCAATAATTCTGTGTAACCAAAAAAAAAAAAAAAGAAGCTCGGTGTAATCCCTACCACCAGCACACATCAATCAAATGAATTATAATGATGTGATGATATTGTGGCTATATTTCTAATTATCATTGTTGTTGTTGCTACCCGAAATAACTAATGTCCGAAAGATTTTTTTCAAAACAATTCTCAACAAGAATATACGTTTGGATCATTATCAAAACAAATGCTTATCTCTTTTTGGTTTCTGATCAAAATAAATCGTTTTTGACCATCTCTCTCTCTCTCTCTCTCTCTCTCTCTCTCTCTCTCTCTTGACCGACCAATGAATTTGATAATGAAAAAATATTTGGTTTTACTCTGACCAACCCAATTCATGTTTATGTGCCAATTATATTCAACAAAACAAACACACATAAGAAAAACTTGAAAACAAATTTACACAATATTTTCGATTGATTGGTTTTCATTTGTTGTTGTTTTTTCCTTCAACATTGTAATGTGGGCGGCATTGAATGAATAAAATAAGGTGTCATTATACAACAAACAAACAGCAAAAGTCGAACACAGATGATGCTTAATTTTGAAGAAAAAAAAAATTTTTGTTTGTTTTTGATTTGCAAAGGGTGTGTTTTTATCGGGGGAGAGTGGAGGGGAGAGAATGAATTGTACCGAAATTCATGACCCTTATATTATTCTCTCCTCTGCTATTCATTTGGTATTTATTTTATTCATTTATTAGTCCGGTTATTCAGTCGGTTATTAT